CCGGCTACGGCGGCACCCGCCCGTCGCCATAGCGACAGCGAGCAGCCTAAATAAACCTTTAGCTGGTATTTGCACCCGTATGGCAATGGCAAGCAGCCTAAATAAACCTTTAGCTGGTATTTGTACCCGTATGGCAATGGCGAGCGGCCTAAATAAACCTTTAGCTGGTATTTGTACCCGTATGGCAATGGCAAGCAGCCTAAATAAACCTTTAGCTAGTATTTGTACCCGTATGGCAATGGCGAGCGGCCTAAATAAACCTGTAGCTGATATTTGTACCCGTATGGCAATGGCAAGCAGCCTAAATAAACCTTTAGCTGGTATTTGTACCCGACACCGTCTGCACAGCCGCCTTTCCATCCACAGGCCTCGGCCAGGGCTGGCAGAGTGTAAGCCTGCTTCAGAACAGTGTTTGCACTCTGATTTTACACAAATGAGAAGGTGATGTCAAAGCCAGAACCTCGCAAAGCTCAACTTTACTTTTTGTATCAATGTAGAAGTTGTTCCTTAGAGCTACTGTATAGGAGAATCAATATAAAGTGTATCATAAATATGTACAGTACAAGAAAGAAATATATACATACAGAAAGATAAGGAGTTATCGGAGAGGGTCCAGTGGAGGTACAAAGTGAGGAGGGGTCTGGAGCATCTCTTGTGAGGACAGACTGCAGGACTGGGGCTGGTTAGTCTGGAGGAGAGACCTCTGACAGGGGATCTCATCAATGCACAGAAATATTTCAAAGGCAGGGGCCAGAAGATGGTGCCAGACTCTTCTTGGTGGTTCCAAGCAACAGCATGAGGAGCAATGACCATAAACTAAAACACAAGGAGTTTCACCTCAACATGAGGAAAAACTTCTTCACACTGAGGATGGCAGAGCACTGGAACAGCTGCCCAGGGAGGTTGTGGATTCTCCCTCTGGACACATTTCAAACCCACCTGGATGTGTTCCTGTGTTACCTGCTCCAAGTGACTGTGCCTTGGACGGGATGATCTCCACAGGTCCCTTCAAAAACTAACAATTCCATGATTCTGTGAAATATGTATAAATAAGGATTTGAAAATTAAAATAATCAACTCTCCCTTTTCCAAATTTATAATCACGACCCTTTTTGCTGATTTAATCTTCACTTTAAATCATGCCACAGGAAAAAGCACCGAATTGTATTGGTTCACAAAGCAGAACACTTCAAACTGCATTTTACCTTTTTTAAAAATACCTCATTAATTTTGAAGACATGAGGGAGGCTGCTACAGTCCCTTATTTCCATGATTTAAAAATAACGTATGGAATTTTGCCCAAGTGTTTAATTTAATATAAATTCATATGAATGAATTCAATATGAACGAAACACTTGTTTTGCTCTGGCTTAGCCTGAATTTATCTAGTTCTACAAAAATGTTTTGAATTAGCAGATAATCCACAATAACCCTAATGGTGTTGCTCCACTGATTGGTAAAAAAAGAAACTATACCCTGTTTCTGGCATTAGTTTTATTCATTATCTGGCAGATGAAACTGGACTTACTCTGTCTATAAAATCCTACCTTAGGCTTTGTCCTGAGGCTGGGAACATCCCTTTAGAGTAATGTGACTTGCTTAGAGCCAGATTGAAAGAGCTTTATGCTATGATCACACAAGAGTTTTGGTGGTGAGCAGCAAAACAGAACTAAAGGTGTCCTGCTGCTGGCACACTGCTGAGCCCTCAGACAGGAAATAAATGTTGTATGCCTACAATGTCCTGCACTGAGTTACCAATCCAACAAGATCCTGGTCTCCCACCTCAGTTTGTTCTCTGCTTTTTATTCCAGCTGTGGTTGCTGAGGTTTCCCCAGGACAGCTTGTGTTACAGGTCTCACAAATCGGCTACAGCCTCCCAAATGGGCAGATGCTCACGTAGCTCTTCCTCTATTCACCAAAATGTTTTCCCTACAAACGTTCCAGGAAAACACTTTCCCCAGATCCCAGCGGAGGGCAGTGATGAGAACCTAAAATCCACATATGGCAAAGAGAGAGGAAAAAAAAAAACCAAGCCCAAGCCCTTGCTTTGAATTCAGTCCTGCTTGTGAGGCAAACGCGGGAGGACCAAAGCATTTTCTGTACCTTCTGACTGATTTATTCTCCACCCAAAGCGGCACAGCCCAACACCACTTATGTCAGATAAAAAGACAAGGCTTTAAGTGAAAGAAGAACATCTGAGGAGGATCCCCTTTGAAGCTGCAGATCCAGTTCAAAGTCACACGCATCAAACAGAGCTATCAATATTTTGGACAGAACAGCCTAAATGAGTCTTGTTCTTTAAACCACCACGTGCTTGGGATGTTGAGAGAGCTCTGGGTGAGGTTTTAATCAGAGCTGAAAATACAGAAAAGCCTGTATGACATTGACATTCTTGTTTAAATGGACAACATAGATGATGCTCATTTCAATTAGTGAGGATATAGCCTGACCAAAACAACCATGGGGTAAATTGTTTCTTCAATGACAGCAGTTAGCATAGCTCATGAGGATAACCTTCACTGCAGGTAGGTTTGTTAGTATTTAAAAGGACATGTAGGAGGTTACTTGACATATCTTGTCTAGCATCAGGTTCTTTGCTCTTTTGTTGCATGGGTTCAGACTTTAGATTGAGTCTTTCCAAGGCAAGTTGGCAAACAGACTTGATTTCTGGGCATAAAATCAGGAGGCCTTACTGAGATACCCATGCTAAAGCAAACTGATCCCATTGCAAATCTTTCTTGTTTTACCAGCATTATTTTACAAATTTTCTGTGGTTTTTTCACGTTTAGACTTAGACCTACCACAAAAATCACACCCTGGCCCTAAATGGCAGTAAAGTCTAAAATCTGTATTTGAACAAGAGCTGATGATCCTCTTATCCTGAACCATCCTGTGCACCTAACACACAGTTGTAGCCACTCACAACCATTTCATAGTTATTAGGCAAAGGTAAAACTCACCTTATGTATAATAAACACAAGTTTAACCTGTTAGTTCAGGTTATTGAAGTAGCTTGTTCCAAAGCCCCAGCCATACTTTTCAGACCAGAGCTCTTCTGAAGCTTCAGAATAAATGCAAGGATGACGATGTCCATCTTTTATTACAGGGTTGGTCCTGCACAGACTGAGCACCTGCTGGAGCACAGCCCTTCTCAAAGCTGGGCAGTGTGACCTGAAACAGAACTGACCAGTGTACAAAGTTTAGAGCTGACTGAGGACAAAAATGTTTTGAAGGGGCCTGATTAAAAACCCTGACACTTGCCTCATCTCTCCAAAAAGAAAAAAGTGAAATCCCCACAAGAGAACTTAAATCCTTCCCAGTTTGTTAGCAACTGGAGTCCAAAGTAGGCCAACATGGCCACAGAAGGAGTTCCTTTGCAGCCTCATGCTATTATACTGCCAGTGAGTAATTTCCCCAAATGTTTGTCACTCTTTCAAAATTAGTATTGGATACAAAAATATAACCTTGTTTGTTTGGTTTTTTAAATTATAATTTTGGTAATTAAAGCATGAAGCATATTTTTCAAAACCAGATTGATTTAGCAGGGACTGTAAACCATGAAGCTGAAACACTTCAATAACATCATCTTTCTTGTCACAGCTTTTTACAGCCCACGTCTAAAACTAAAATAAAATTACTTATTTTGAGGATCAGCATTTACAAGATCCTCATGCCACACACATATTGGACTTTTCACCCCTAAATAATGTAAATTCTATTTCTGTTCCCCCCAGATTAACTGTGGTATGCAATTTCCATTTCCTTTCTTCTAGCCGTTTTCAAAGGTAGAGCAACACCAAATCACACACCAACACTGAATATTTCTTAAATTCTCATTTCAGAATTCACAGGTGTACCAACCATATCATTTTAATTTAGTTGTTAGTATATACATTAACACTCAAAAGTGTGATAAAAACCAAACAAAAGTAGTTTTTTTTAATAAACAGCATGATACAGACCGCGAAGATAAATAAAAAGCAGACTTTTTACAGTTTCCCATGAACATGAACTACAATAAGTATCATAGGCCAAACTTTTGTTACTTGAGTAGCACAGCAGAAGGGTTAAAAAAGGAGTTGTGTTTTTTTATTTAAAGAACTGCAAGACTATTCTCAGTATGACAACACATGCATCTTGCTGCATCTTAAATACTTTTTGGCCCATTATTACTAAAAATGTCTTGCTTTCTACCTACTTTACCACAGACCTTTATCACAGAATGACACACATTTGGCAACGTCCCCCTCTGCCCCAGTAGTGGTTATTTCAAAGGTAATAGTCTCATTTTTAAAAGGTAATTGAAGCACTGGTGGGGGTTTTTACTTTGCCTTTGATGCAGACAGGT